ATAATGTTAAATAGTCCGCATAATACTCAATAATATCTGTATGTATATACCTGCATAAATATAATATTTATGTAACAAAATAGCATAGATATGATATAAACAAATAATTACTAGTAATTTAAAAGAAATAGAAATATTTATAATTGTATATATACTTAACATTTAGGTAACTTAGGTTAGGTTAGGTTACTTACCGGTGATAAGTGACTCTTTTTTTTTGTTAAATATTTTGTCTTATAACTTTTGCACATTTTTAATGAGAAAAATTCATTTTATTTATTAAATAATTAATGTCAAGAAACGTCTTGTACATATTTATACATAAATTAATAAAAAGAAGAGTCAGCTAATTAAAAAAATTTTTCCGGACTACTGGTACTAGACAGAAATTTAAATAAATATTTACATAAAATATAAATAATTATATATACACGTTAAATACAACATATAAATATCAAATACAAGAGAACACAATGATGACAGTCTTCTAATCATTTTTATATTTAAACTAAATTGGAAAGATAGAATGATTTTAATCTTTTTTTGAAGGAACTGCTAGATGGGCTATTCTGAATACTCACGGGAAGTTTATTCCACAGCTGTACAGCACGATATGCAAATGAATTACCCATAAAATGGGTTTTACAGCTGGGAAGTATTAGTACCCTGGACTGGTTCAGACAAAGACGTCTAGGTCTGGAAGGAGGAGGTAACAATTGGAACCGGGAACGAAAGTAGGAAGTAGAATTGGGATCATTAAGGATATTATATAGGACCGCTAGGACATGTGTCTCATGACGCTGTCTGATTGGATTGTTATGTCATTCATGCGGTCATTTCATTTTGGATGTGCTTCGATTAAAGCAAATTGTCAGCGATAATTATTGTTTTGTGTTTATATTTTTAAACATATTATTGAGTGCATTCATACAAACGGTGAGTCTTAAATTGTTCAAATGTATACTATGTATATGTGTGCGTGTACTTTTCTCAGTTTTTTTTTATCTTAAAATTATTATTTTTTATTATTTCACTTTATACGTAGCGAAGCAGGTACCGGGCCACTAGTATTGTATAAATAAATATATAAAGTATATAATATACATTTCATTAGATATATACATATTATAACATTATTTATATATATAACTATAATATAAATCTTTTTTTTTATACAACTTAGAATGGCAAACAAGCTGACGGCCCACCTGATGGAAAGTGGTAACCGTCGCCTATAGACATGAGCAGTACCATGGACATAACAGAGTATACTGTTTCGCCCATGATACCCCCATGCGTTGCCATTCCTGAGGACTCAGGTGTTATTCCTCTGTACCCTGTAAATTCACGCCATATCCCACCCTTCAAACCGAAACACAGCCATGCAAACACAACTGCTTCACAGTAGAAACACGAATAGGACAGAAGTACCCAAGTACGTAAGGACGACAAAAACAAGAGAGAAAGAGAGAAAGTGAAAAAACAATTTATAATGACAGTAGTAGAATTTCATTAGGTTCCTGAAGGTAGGTAATGAATTATAAAGCTTAATGGTCAAGTAACGGGCAGCAGCGTTCCTGTTAAAAAAACAACCTGTTTGGCGAGCGTTACAACTACAGGCCCCATCTATTCAGTGATTACACTAAGTCTGTGAACTTAACCATACTTTTGTTTTGTGTAAAACTTCTTAATAGTTAGTTTTTTTTATTGTACCTGTCTAATACTGAATTGACACCTTAATAAAATTGTCTTGCTACTAAAAACATCACTCTATTCCTATTATTTATTTTCTTTTGATATTTATCGCAAATTCTATATATATTCTAGTATATTACTTACATTTATTCCATACAGGCCCCGAACTTCTTCTGTCTTCTATTCGCGAGAGATTCTGGCCTACAGGTGGCAGAAACGCTGCTCATGCGTGTAATCTGCTTACGTATGCGTTGGCAGACTATACAGCCTAAAATGGTAGACTTGCCTGATGTGAGAATCATGTCAAATTTTCCTTTTAATACGTGTGGTACCGACTTTACTGGACCATTAATGACTATTTCTAAAAAGGGACGTGGCAATCGTATAACAAAAGCCTATCTATGCATATGTGTGTCTTGCTACCAAGGCACTTCTTTAGAGGCTGTCAGTGATCTGACTACTGAGGCCTTCCTGTCATGCCTGCGAAGATTTGTATCGCGGCGAGGCAAACTGGTTGAGATATATTGCGAACCTGCCAACTTTCCACTGCTGGGGAAATCGGCCCGTTTGCAAACGGCCGTCAAATATTTGGCAAAGATGGTTCCCCAGCTCGTCTGGAGCCAGACACAGAGCCTTGCCAGGAACACCATCTCGTCCCGGGGCAGTCGACTTGGGCCCTGAGTTTCTCCACGTCTTGGCTCATTTCGTCTGCAGAAATTGGCGGCACCTCCTCCTCCATAACCTCTCCAACAGCTGGCCGTATCATGGCTGAAGGGGAAAACTCAGGCTACGTAGGAAAGAGCGCATCCACAATTTCTTGAAGCTGTCGCGGCTCTAGGGTCTCAGCAATGGACAGGGCCCAAAAATGGAGTTTTGACACCTGATGCTACGATACGAGCGGCCCCATTGATCCTAATTTAAGGTCTCCAGAAGCTCCTCTTTCGCTCAGATCTTAGCCTCGCTAATTAGGCTCTTTAGCGCTTTTTTAGCCGAGCGGTAAGCCTCGTAGAGCTCAGTCTCGACTTCAGGACGTTGGTAGAGATGCCTGCAATGATATCTGGTGCATCGCCTTCTAGCGGCCACGCAGTGTCTCCGCTGAAAGACGATATCCTCGTTCCACCAATATACATGCCGCCTTGGAGGAGGCGGCTTGGCTCGAGACATCGCGCCATCACAAACGCTCTTTATGGCCGCTCCAAACTTAGCCGCTTGCGCTTCGACTTCAATAGGATACTCCGAGTTCAGAAGCCAGGCTTGCGCAGAGGAAGCTTCCAGTAACATCTCTCGATTCAAACGCTTCAGGGCCCATTTTGGAAATTGAGCCACGTTTCCCACTTGGCGAGGTATGGTCGCAGCTAAGAGTGTCTCCACCCCGACCAAGACTTGCCAGCTACGGACACGATTCGCGACGGAAGGACTGGCGAATGTGACATCAATAACCGATTTTCCCTGATGGCATACGCACGTAGGTGTAAAACCCCGATTCAGACCCACGAGATCCGCCGCCAACATCCACTCCTCGAGGGCCCGACCCCGAACGTTTGTGCGGGAAGAGCCCCAAGTCCTCGCCTTTGCGTTCAAATCCCCGGCAAAAATTACTGGCCGGTCTGGGAAGCAACCCATAAGGGCTCCCAGTTCACTCAAGTACCCTTAGAATTCAGCGAGGGACTTATTTGGAGAAAAGTAAGCTCCCGCAATAAGAGTGTCTCTCCACTATGCCAAGACGAGGCCCTCCCTGCTGGCAAGGGGCATTAGAACATGCGACGAACCACAACAAACCACCCCGACGACTACCAAACCGGCAGTGTCGCTGAGCCAATTAGCACTATCAGGAACCCATAGAGGCTCAGAGACTATGACGACATCAATGGACCACTCCGCGACGCTTTGCATGAGAAGATCTTGGGCGCACGCGCAGTGGTTCATGTTCGCCTGGAGTAACCTTTGAATGGATGTTTTGAAGCCGTTTCCATTGCCTTCGTCGCGGTTCTTTGGTTAGGAGCCTTGGTGGCAGCCGAGGCTTATCCCTTCTTGCCGTTTTGCTTAGGAAGATTACTGTTCTTCGACCTCACAAAATGATCCGCCGGTCGCCCTAAGGACAAGCACACAACGCAGTATGGAGCGGCTTTACAGTCAGCCGCTTTGTGCGTGTTATAGCTGAAATTTCAATAATCCTGGCCCCTGTTGCCGCCGTTTTGAAGTGAATGGCGCCAATACCCAGAGAGGGAAGGTCAATTTTGAATCTTGCCTCCCTTATCATCTTGCCATAATCGACGCCATTTTTCTCCGCCTCAGGATCGATAGCGAGGACCACCGCAGCCGAGCGAGCAGAGCGTAACTTGGATAGCGCCGGCTTCTTTCCACTCTGCATCGCCTTGGGCTGGCTATTCACCTGCGTTTGCAACGATCAGCTCTTAGCTCCACATTTAACGATAATGATTATTTCCCGGGCTCCAGTCTTTTAGTCTAGCTATGATCTATTTGCCTATCGTGGCAATTTCGGTACTCAATGAGCGGTTATTCTCAGAAGCAGGAGCGACAGTCACCCAAGAGAGAAACCGCTTACTAGGCACCAAGTTGTTAAAATTGTTATTTATAAACTCTATTTTAAATAAATAAACTTAAAAATAAAAAAAATTTTGATTAATACTTGTTTCCTGTTAAAAATTAATAAATTTCGATAAAAATGTTAAAATGACTATTATAAAAGCATAAAATAATATAAGTTTGTTTTTATTAATATAGTTATTTTTTATTTTCATTAAAAATACATATTTATTCGACATATATAGATAAATGTATATTTGAATGGTGGTAAAAACATCGAAAAAAAATCAATATATCGCTTATAAACTTCGATGTTCATAAATTTCGAACGATGATATTTCACATTTCAAAATATTAATGTTTTAATATCAAAGTTTTTTATGAGCGATGTTGTATCCCTAGAGGCAATGAGATTATTATCGGAATCTTCATGAGGGAAGTATCATAGTGTAAATATTTCTTGGTAGTTATTTTTATTTATTGTACCTGTTTAATACTGAATAATTAAGAAACTTGAACGTTTATAAAATTGTCTTGCTACTAAAAAAAATCACTCGATTGCTTTTATTTATTTTCCTCTGATATCTATCGCAAACTCTATATATAAAAACCTTAACGACAGATTACTACTTAATTATCAAAATATACATGAAAAGTAAATCAATTGACTTATTAAATCACGTACGAACGTGAACCATGGAAATTTGGCAAAACTGTATGAATCCGAAACCGTACAACATACGCATTGGAAAGAATACGTCATTGACATGTGTGCGATAAAAATGGTGCTCGTTTACCAGCTGGCATTCATTTTGTGTTGAAAAAGTGAACATTTTAGTCATATCGTTATAATAGCCATGGCTACAGTTTTGGATTTAGTGAAACATTACCAGCATTCAATAGAGAAATATCCTAAAGACGAACAGAAGGTAAGTGTTTACTTATTGTCAGCCATTTGGTGTTATTTTCCTGTAGAAAATTTATTATAAATATAAATCCGGCAATAATTTTACCACTATAGTCGTGGTCTTTTGTGTTCATGATCAGTTCAAAGATTTCACACTTGTACATATATTGATACAAGTAGGCAACTTTATCCTAAATAATTGTATAGACTTAGAACCAAATAATATTATTGGAACAGATTGTCCCCCATCTTATTGTGCAAACATAAATAAATCAGTTTACTTAATTTGACAATCTTGACGACTGTTGTAATATAATCTATGGATCATTTAGCAAGCACAAGTCAATATATTATATTACCAAATTTTAGTTTAATAGTATTTCACCAAAACTAAAAGTATAACCTATAGAAATATGTATATTCTTTGTATAGAAAAAAAAAACACTACCTAAGTAGGTATGAGGTCTTGCCCTAACAGTCATTCTATAGTACCTATTTGGTAGATATGTAGTAACATGATGGGAATGACAGCTAACAATTTGGCTTTTTCATGGTAATAACTTTTTTGCAATCAAAGACAATCTAATTTGCAATGTTTTGTTAAACCCTTAAATTATGTTTATTAATTTTCAGTGTGATTTTCTTTTAATGACTACACCTGTACCATGCTACAATATACAGAGAATAATCTACATTAATAAAGGGGAATGTTTTGATTTTTTGTGTTTGTTTATTTGTAATGGATAAACTGATCAGTGATGAGTTAAATTGTCTTTTCATATCCAAATGTTGCTCACTGGTGACAAGTATACTCATCATTGTGCTAGCATGTAGGTACATCCTCCTACCACAGTGGACAAGACTGTTTGGATTACAAAGTGTTCATGACCAAAAAATTACTTTACAAATGTAAATAGATGCAAGCAAATGCCTTTATTTATACCCTGATTTCAAACAACAAGTCGAGATCATATTTAGTGATAGCATTCAGGATGTGATCTGGCCATGTTCCACTTAGCAAATTGTATCATTTTATAGGAATTAAGCAATCACCAAATTGTATATAACTGGTCTGGCCATAAATACTGTTACATAAAAACTTTTATCAACTTTTTAATTATTTTGAATTTAGAATTCCTTTAATATTTTAAAAACTTCTTGATTTTGTGCCATTTCACATATTTTTTTCGTGTTCATTATCAAATTACAATATGGAACTGGTTATTAAAGAAAATAGGATTGGGGTTCTAAAGAAGCAAAAATCTTATATGAGAAATGAAGATTCCTGCTAGGACTCTGTCACATATTATAAAACAAGACCTGAAGCTTGGTGCTTATTGTCAATATACAGGACATGCCCTAAATCAATCTTTACAATTAAAGAGAGTGGATTTATCAAAACCCTTTCTATCACAATATGCAGATGAAAGGCACAAAAATATCCTCTTTACTGATGAAAAATTTTTCACAATTGAAGAACACTACAGGTTGGTCATCATCCTGAATCAGTGATTGGTTTTTTTTTTTTGTGAAAAAGGAGTGATAACTTCAACTAAAGTGTATCAAGATGCACACAGACCGCACAGATCTGCAAATTATAGAGGAGGTTTTAAATTTACAACTGCAAAAATTTGGAACGACCTGCCTCCACCCTTACACCAACCATTAACATCATTACATTTTAAAAACCTAATGAAGAAAAGGATTTTACTTATGCGGAAGCAACCCTCGGTTCGTGGAGCTGGTTCTCGTCATGGAATGTAGTGCACTCGCAAATTGTATATCATTTTTAAGGATTTTTTTCTTGTCATTAGTTTGTTGGTACACGGGATTCTTGTTCTGTTTTATTTTATTTTTTTTTCTTTTATTCATTGTTTTTTATACTTGTTTATTTTAGTTTTTGTATTTTTTTCTTTTATTTTTATGTAATATCTACATCAATATATATATTTGATAATGAAATGGTGCCCCGTGTAGGTGCAAACTGAAAATCAGCGCTGAATGAACATCAGTCCAGCAAAAGCTGAGTTTGTACCTATTGCCAGGCGCATACGATTAATGGACAATATATTGATTAATTAATATATGTACATTATAATTTGTGAAGAATGGCAATAAATTTTATTATTATTAAAAAAAAAAGATACGATCTTGGATCGTGTTGTGAAATGTCTCAGCAATACACTTTGTAAAAATATACCATAGACTTTCCAGGTGAAATGCATCTGGTTACAAGGCATGAACTACTCCTTGAAACCAACGTTCTAGACTTTATAAGAGCTGAAGACTAAGGATTGAGGTCTGGGCTAGAACCAGACTTCAATCCTTTAGACATCAAATTGTGGTCAGGTCAGGCTACTGCAGCTGTACATAAGCTAGGAATAAAAGGTATTGGCATTAAATTCTTATCTGACAGCACAGCAGTACTAAAAGCACTATGAAACAACAAGACAAACAACAAATTAATAATTGAATGCCACCATTCACTGGATATCATCCAATAACCGACTTATCCTTCAGTGGATAAGAGGGCACAGTGGATTTTATGGTAATGATGCCGCAGACGAACTAGCTAGAAGATGTTCAGGAATGAGAGTGGTAGGCCTAGTGACATAACAAAACCAAAGATGGATACAGGCTACTGATTGCAGACAATCAAAATTCGCTGTGTCAACATTGAATTAACGATTATCAAAGCGTTTATTACATCTAGATAGGAAAAAATAATGATAGGGACAATAAGTACAACAATTGTACATTAAACAAACATTTATACACAATATGAGCCACAGACAGCCCTCTATGTCGAGGCTGTTTCGACGCCGAAGAAACGACTACTCACGTAATCCTGGAATGTGAAGCTGTGCCCCATCAACTATCAAACATCAACATTTAGAAATCCTCGGAATGGTGAGGTCGCTCCGTGAGGCCTGTAAAAATCCCAGGAAACTTCTGTGCTTCTGGACGGTGCTAGGTTGGCTGTACTAGACACGACTCATATGCACAACGGCCCAAAAGAGAGGCTAAGCGCGGAAAAGAGAGTCCAATTTACATTACATTACATGGTCAGGTTTAGAGGACATGGCCTGCTTTAAACAACACAGCAACATTGAGTCTCTTAAAAAAATCTTTGGAGCAAGCAGTGGCGAAATTTTCCTTGGAAACAGTGCGTAAATCCATAGATTTGTTGCCAGATAGATTAAAGGCCTGTATAAAAGCCAAAGGTGGCTTTCGAATAAAATATTTTTTTTATTTTTTGCTGAAACTTTAATAAATATGTATTATTCCATTCCAGAATTATGTGAGAAGCTGTTTCCTCATTCTTATAACAGCATCAACATGAAGGACTGTCAATGGCCCCTATTGTTAATAAGTATTTATTTAAAGGACAATGGCTCGTTATTATTCTTATTATTGTTTTAAAATTTCCTATTTAGATACAGTAAATATTTTGACTTGACAGTTATTAATTCAATATTGATATGGCCAATCTTGATTGTCTGCCATCATTAGCCTGTATCCATCTTTGGTTTGTATATCAGTGGATCATTAACAAATCCATGTTCAAAACTGTGAGAATGCAAAAGAAAGCTGTGGGTATTTTGCCATCTTTGCATTGTTACCATAGGATTCAGTTCCAAAAATGCCACCAAGGCATTTCAATTATTAATTTATTATTTGTTTCCTAGGGCTTTAGTACAGTACTCGGTAGTTGTACAAACGGGAACCCGGGATCCAACATAAGCGCCTCGAGGTACGTCGTGTGGTTTTTAGTGGGTACGAATCCCACACACCCCAGCTGCCCTCCCTCCGGCAGATGGGATGGTCTTGCTGAAGATTTACCACACGTTAAAAAAAAATGGGCTTTAGTACAGACATGCTGTCAAATAGGTATCTAATGCATCCATCTCAACATTCTAATCTCTGCCACGTGTCATCTTTTATCCATCATCTTGATGAACTAGCATTCAGATACAGGACAAGTCTTATACTAGATTTGTAAACTTTATCCTTCAGTTTTTTTTAATGGATGGTAATGGAATAGCAACCCCACCTATGCAATGGTATGGCCAGGCACCAGTGAGGGATAACAGATGGAAATGAAAAGATAGATCAGTTAGGCCATCATGATGAATACACTGGGATTCAACATGACGGTTTCCAGAAGGGATCACGTGGATGTCAACCTCGACCTAACAGGATATATTGTTAGCAATATGACTGGTAGTCCGCATTACTAATAATCTCTTCCTCCCTTATCCTTCATTTTGAGGAGCATTCAGGAGTCTCATACTGATCCCGAGTCCTGTCACCATTTCACCACCCATCCAACCCTAATTCAATGCTTAACTTCACAGTGTATTCGGCATTGTTCTATATAATTGAACTAAGTTACCGAAAATCAGAGCAGACTGGTAATGGTACATCCTCAAGGGCAGTAAGTACGAAACTGGAGAGACGAACGAAATCGCAATGTAAATATTCAGTTTTACATATGCTGATTTTCAAGCCAACCTTCTCCATCTCTCCTCCTTTCTTTTGCCATCTGTCCAGCCTACTATGCACCTAAAGTTCATTTTCCCTGATAAGAAAGATATCATCAGCAAATACCATGCACCAGGATATCTCCTCCTAAATGTATTATGATAGAGCATCCATTATAATTAAGAAAAGATAAGGTTCTTAGAGCAGAACCCTGATGCAGGCCTACGATCTTATCTATGATACCAGCCACCAATGGGACATTTGTGGAAGACTAGTGGTACATAGCACGAATTAGCTCTACATACTTCCCTGGCACTCCTTTCTTTTTTAGGACCCACCACAACCAAATGGGGTATCCAATCGTTAATATTCCACTTATTTATAATTATTAGATATGATCAGTCTGTGTAGTTATGGAATGCAATAATGAGTAATAATAGAGCACTTTCATAACGTATTACCATCCATCACCTTAAGCCTTAAGGAAACGAAGCACAATATATGTACATATATAAAAAAAACTGCCTATAACTAAAC